AAGCGTGCATCTGCGTCTGTAGTGGCTCGCTGGATAGTCGGCGCTTGAGCAGCCATGCCCGACGCAGTGGTGGCAGCTTCTTTCAAGAAGTGCTCTATTTACAACTCACTGGACGGCACCGAAGATGGTGAACTTTGGGAATGCGACAGCGACAAGGAAAACAGTGGTACTTCAGAGAATGACAGCTCGTGATTATGAAATTACAAAGCTGATTTTTTGCGCACTTGAAGGTGGCGTGTGAAATAAAGTTTTGGCGAGAACTCTCGCCTTATATTATTAATAGTGTGCAAACTTTTTTTCCTTTTCTTTGGTTCTTTAACTCCCCCCTCGTTTTATAATCGTGACCACCTTATATTCGAATAAATACGGTATGTGTCCATTGAGCGAGTGCACTTACGCTCACAAAGTGTCACTAAGGCAGTTTGCTGCTACACGAGAAAGCGAAGTGTACTTTGGCAATGATGGCAGTGACAATCGACAGATCTGTAATGCAACATATTGCTAAGGTATGAGCCGGGCTGTAGTATGTGCCGGGTAGGTAGAAGAGGAAGACGACGTTGTCTGGTGGGGCCTGAGGACTCCATCTTTACCACGACTGCCGAACTTCATCATTAACCTGTAAATAAATCCACATATCCTTTCATTCAACCGTAACAGTTTTGTGGTAGAGGCGCTGGGTAATCAAACAAGCAACGCGACGCTTCAAGCGCCTGATCTACGTCGAAGCCGCCGCCTTGCTGGATTCCCCCGTTTCCACTGGCAGCTGAGATATCTCACGGCGAAGAAGGAAACCGGATCCTCGCAGTTGCAGACCTTCTACCAGTCCCAGCAGCACCGCTAGTGCCAGGTTCGCGTGCAGCTGGTCTCTGGTTGCGTCAGGATCTGATAGTGCCTCGCACATTCGGTGAAAATCTGGCGAGGGCGTGGACGCCTGGCTCACACACTACAAACGGGAGAGCAAATACTACCAGTGGGACGCGGCGACCCACCTGACCAATGTAGTATTTTTCTTAACGGACAAAGCACTCATGTGATACGAGAACCACGAGGATGCCCTCACGCCAAGGGATCGCTTCGTTTCCAAAATAAGAGCGTGCTTTGAAGACTCCGTAGCTAAGAGAAAGCAGGCCGAATAAACGTTACTGCAGAGAGCTCAGATCGCAGGAGAGACGTGCACGACCTATGTAGAGGCAATCTTGAAGCTCTGCAAGATTGTCAGCCCTTCTATGTCAGAGGAAGACAAAGTTGGCCACCTGTTGAAGGGCATTGCCGAGGATGTGTATCAGTTCCTGATCAGCAAAGACAGCCTTGCTACGGTAACCGACGTCATAAACCACTGTCGCCCATTCGATACCCTGAAGATGCGACGTATCCCCCCCCCCAAGTTCGGTCGCCTTCCGAATGTAACCACCATGGCAAGTGTTGACGAATACACGAATACATGTCGCGTCGACAATACTCCAGATCGTTCGAGAAGAGCTCACGACATGCTCGCCCGACGCCGTACGAAGCTACACCCGCACCGCCTCCTTCTCGCCTTCCCGTGTCAATTGCGGCAGCAGGCATCGATGACTGCAACTACAGGCCACCCTCACCACCGAGGTCACAGCGCAATAGCTACCCGCTGCCAAGGTACGAAGACCGCTTCAGTTACCCCCATCAGCCAGCCAACACCTATTACGACCCGAAGGAAGATGTACCTGTGCCACCACACCAGCGCAATGCCTTCCAGGAGTACAATGCATACCGCCAAGCCCCTGTGTGCTACCGTTGCGGTATTGCCGGGCATATAGCTCGGTTCTGTCGTCGACAGAGAGGGCCAACATCCCGATATCATTCCCCATCAGAGTTTCCGCCAGCGAGCACTGGTCACAACAACGGTTATCGGCCCGCCTATTCCAGGAGTACCTCACGGCGGGGAAATCACCGTGGCAGTTCTCCCGCTTCTGACCGTAGTTTGACACCTCCATCTGGCCGACTGCATCGTTCCCCTTCGCCGGGACGACGCCTGTTATCACCGCCGCCGCCGGGAAACTAGCCAGCGCGACCGATGGAAGTGAGGTCACACAACAGGATTTGCCTCAGATGCCTCCGCCAGTTATAATTTCGAAGAACAAGATACGCGTGAAAATAGAAGGCTTTTGCACAAGTGCTTTGGTGGACACTGGTGCTACGATATCAGTTATGAGTCCTTCTTTGAAAAGTCGCATTGGCCGCAAAGTTATGTTGTCTTGGGGCGAATCAACAAGGTTTTGTGGTGTTGGTGGGGAAGTACTTCATCCTGTCGGAGTTTGTGCGGTCAATGTCTTATTGGCAGAAAGGTGTTCCCAACAGAGTTTCTTGTGTTGCAACGTTGTACCCACGTTGTGATTCTCGGTCTTGACTTTCTCCAAGGATGTGGCGCTTTCGTCGATTGTGGAAGCGGTGAACTTTCCGTCAGCGGTGACAATGTTCCTGCCCTCGACGATGAGACGCTGCAGGCCGCGAAGGATGCTCTAATTGTTTCCGACGAGCTGACAGTGCCGCCATGGTCAATGAGGTCAGTTGCGGTGTTTGCCCCAGAATCTGCCACATCTTTTGACGCCATCGTTGAACCTGCCATCGATCATTGTGCTAAGAAAGGCATACTCGTCCCTCGTTTCTTGGTATCTGTTGATGAAGAAGCAACCTTTCTGTGGGCACTGAACTGTTTGCCAATGCCGGTTGTGCTCCCTCGCGGAATGAAGCTTGGCATCTTCGATGATTCCACTGAAGGTTCTGTAGCGGTAGTTAACAACGATGGAAGCGAGAAAGGTACAGTCTCTGGCAAGCGCGGTTGCTCTTACGAGTCGCAGATCCTAGGTAGGATTAGCGCCAATTGCGGTCACACGAGCAGCAGACGTTACGCCATCTGTTGAGGCGACATGCTTCTGTGTTTGACTTTTGCCAAGAGGAGAAGCCACTACATTTACCATGTTCTCGCGCTCACCATAGGATTGACACCAGCACTGCCCATCCGATCCGACAAAAGCCTTACCTAGTGTCGTCATCAGAACGAAAAGTTATTGCCGACCAGGTTCAGGAAATTCTGAAGAAGAGTGTCATTGAAGAGTCGTGTAGCCCGTGGGCAATACCGGTCATTTTGGTTAAGAAGAAAAATGGTGTCTGGCGGTTCTGCGTTGATTACAGAAGACTCAACGCCGTGACCGAAAAAGTTGTATATCTGCTGCCTAGGATTGATGATGTTACTGACTGATTACACTCGGCTTCGTACTTTTCTTCAATATACCTACAATCAGGATATTGGCAGATAACTATGCACCCTTCAGACAAGGAGAAGGCCGCATTCGTGACGCCTGATGGACTCTACCAATTCGATGTGATGCCATTTGGGCTTTGCAACGCCCCCGCCACTTTTGAAAAGTTTATGGACTCTGTCCTTCGTGGTCTTAAATGGGAGGTGGGCTTATGCTACCTGAATGACGGCGTCATTTTTGGGCGTACCTTTGGAGAGCACAACGTCCGTTTAAGCCTTGTTTTAGACTGTGTCGGAAAGGCTGGCTTGATTTTGAACTCTAAGAAGTGCCGGTTTTGTGAACGACAAGCTTTAGTCTTTGGTCACCTAGTTGACAGAGATGGTGTCAGGCCAGATTCCCGCAAAATCAAAGCAGCCGACACATTCAAACCACCCCAGACACGGAAGGAACTTCGCAGCTTCTTTGGCCTATGTTCCTACTTTCGCTGCTCTGTGCCTCGATTTGCGGACGTAGTACACCCACTGACGAGCTTGTTGCGAAAAGACAGCTCATTGGAATGGACACCTGATTGTGATGCCGCATTTTCTGAACTGAAACTTCTACTGACATCTGAGCCTACTCTTCGTCATTTCGATCCTTCTGCTCCTACAGAAGTGCACAGTGACGCAAGTGGAATTGGCATCAGAGGTGTGCTTGTTCAGCGCCATGATAATGCAGAGCATGTTGTTGCTTATACGAGTCGATCTCTAAGCAAGGCTGAAGTGAATTATACGGTGACAGAGCAAGAATGTTTAGCGCCTGTATTCGCCATTCAGAAGTTGCGATGTTACCTCCACGGTCGCCCATTCACGATTATGACAGGCAATCATTCATTATGTTGGCTTGTTACCCTCCGAGACCCTTCTGGCTGCCTTGCTCGATGGGCTTTACGCCTTCGAGAATTTGACTTCAGCATTTCGTACAGAAGTGGACGACGTCAATCGGACGCTGATTGCCTTTCTCGCCTGCCTATGACCACGACAGAGGACAGTGCAGATATCCTCGACATCTGTTTTGCTACGGTCTCTCACACGTTTCCTGACGCCAATATCTTCAAACTAGAACAATTGAATAATTTATCTTTAAAGCCTTTGTTCGTTGACGCTCTGAATCTCAAAGGCAGTGGTCGCTTTCGCATTCGTGATGAACTGTGGTGTAAAACAAATTACTCAGCAACCGGCGCACGTTATTTACTGGTTGTACCTCAAAGACTTCGATGCGACGTTTTCCGTACTATGAACAATGATCCAACGTCAGGTCACCTTGGGCTCATTCGCACCCTGCATCGAGTGCAGCAGCGTTTTTACTGGCCTCGAAGGCGAGATTTTACGAAACAATACGTCTCGAGCTGCGAGAACTGCCAGCGTCGCAAACGACCTACCAGTGCGCCGCGCGGCCTTCGTCACCCGGTACAACCGCCTACTACGCCTTTCGAGCAAGTGGGCATCGACCTATTGGCGTCAACTTACCATCCAGATACCTTACCAGATACGCCGAAACCACTGCGATACCATCTTCTACAGCTGATGACGTTGCTGCCTTTTTGTTACGCTCCGTTGTTCTTCGTCATGGTCCACCTCAAGTAATTATGAGTGACCGTAGTCGCCAATTCATCGTGGACGCTGTGGAAGAATTGCTTCACCTCTGCACCTCACAGTTCAGACATTCGACACTATACCATCCCCAGACGAATGGTCTGGTAGAACGCACCAATCGAACTCTTACTAACATGCTCGCTATGTACGTCGCATCCAATCACAAAAACTGGGATGAGATATTGCCATTTATTAATAACGCATACAATACAGCGAAGCACGAGACCACGGACTTCACGCCCTTCTACCTTCTCTACGCTCGAAAACCACGCAGCTCCCTTAATGCAATCCTCCCATTTAAGCTTCATACCGATGAGTCCGTGGCCGAAACATTGTGGCGGGCTGAAGAAGCCGGCCGTTGCTCGCTTGTGCACACTGGCATCACAAAATCGCTCCAAGCAACGGTACGTTCAACGCCATGATGCCGTTTCATTCCGAAAAGGTGAATTCGTGTAGTTGTGGACCCCCCAACGAAAACCTGGTTTATGCCAGAAGTTTTCACCGCAGTACACAGGCCCCTACGTCATTGTAGATCGCTTGACTGACTTGACGTACGTTGTGGCACGCTTGCCGACACCTTCTCGTCGTTAAAATTGAACGCAGTTGGTGCACGTGGCTCGCCTCAAGAAATTTCATCCCTCCAGTGACTTAAACTCGCCCAGTGGGCTTCGTCTGTAAACCGGGGATTGCTACGGTATGAGCCGGGCTCTAGTATGTGCCGGGTAGGTAGAAGAGGAAGACGACGTTGTCTGGTGCGGCGTGAGGACTCCATCTTTAGCACGACTGCCGAACTTCATCATCACCCTGTAAAGAAATCCACATATCTTTTAATTCAACCGTAACAATATATTAGTTATTTTTGTACCTGTGTTTCATCGCTGGACCATGTTGTCTTCGTGGAAGGAGCACCACAAGGCACACGCCATTGTGAATGACTACAGAACAACTCACCTACACATGTGCAAGTGTACCTGGAAGTAAACACACGGCGGACTCAGCCACTTGTGCTGCCGCATATCCCTAGTAAACATGTCCGCAATCTACCTGACATTAAGAGTAGCAAGGTTTTTTTG